CCAACAACCTGTCTGCTACACTTTCCATTCTGATAGTTAATAAAGAATCTTGAATTAATTTGATCCATGTTTGCGGGACGTAGGCTCATGTATTTTTTAGAAATATCATAAAAGGGTCCAGAAATATGAAAAGAATGCGGAACTTTTGTTTTTGTAATACGGATTTTAAATAACAGAATACTTCCAGTATCCTTTACATCGCTTATTGTTAAATCTTTTAGTTCGTGGCAACGACAAGCGCCAGATAATCCAAAAACTAATGCTACCTACAAATATTAGTAGTTATGTATTAAGTATTTGTTAAAATAAAAATAATAATTCCGTTACCTTTGTTATTAAATATTTATAGTCAGGTGCATTCTTTAGGAAAGTCTTTATGTCTTCAGGCGAAAAAATTTTGGATTTTTGGCTTTTAAAACCATCAGATTTTCTTTTCAAAAGCGAACGTAACTTTGGATATTTACTAATATCGACATCATTTTTAACAGAGAGTGTAGTTCTTAGCATCGAATAAATGGACCATAACATCGACGGTTTAAAATTTGAACATATTTCTCCAAAGTATGCTAGTAGTACAGTTTCCGAAAATGATTTCACTTTATTTTTTTCTCTCCAGTCCAAAAATTTGATATAAATTTCTTCATATCTCTTTTTTGATTTGGTCGGTAATAAATCTGAAGAGGTTTCTTCAGCTTTAAAAATAATTTCTGGGGGAGTACAATCGCTTTCTGACTCAGACATCATGAAAATGTGTTAAATTTAGGACGAACTGAAACTGACAGTTCTCAAAAGTGATAAAACTTCAAATAAACAAATGAAAACCAGGAAACTAGATGTAGATTGGTTTAATTTGCACTATTTTTATACATTTTTATTTTATCTTTAATTCATTAAAGTTTAGGTAAAAACGCATATAGAATTTAATGAGCATCTTTTTATTTTATTATTAATAATTATAAGCTGCCAAAATATTATACGAGGCGACTGATATATGAAAATATGTAACAACTTACTTTCGTCACTAGAGACGAAAGTAAACGTTATGGGATTTTTTCTCACTAGTGACAGAAATCATGTTTTCGCTGAAAGTATCCTGTGGCGAAAGATGTCTTTTTGTAAGAGTTCGTAGAAAAAATATTTTTTTGATGAACAGCTCACAAGGTAATTATTTTCTATTCTTTATCAACAATTTCAACATTTTGCTGACTTGTTTATCTTACATATTCAACCGCAATCACCCTGTAAGTACGAAATTTTTCTTTGTTTCCAAATAATACAAGGGTTATATTCCTAATCTAAAGACAGTGTGTCAAAATATTTAATACACGATATTTCTTTTGAAAATATTTACTTATGTCAGTATATATTTATTGTTTAAAATTCATTTATTTGGTATCTACTTGTTATATTTTGTGAACCAATAGAACAATATTATGGTAACTCAAGAAGCATTGCTCGAAAAGCTTTACTTGCTTTCCTTGTTAAACTAAGACATGGATTGTCAAATGAGTTCCCAATCTGATATAAATATACATAAAGAGACAATATAAAGAGCCACTGCTCTAGTCAAAATAAACATTATTTATTTCCCTATATCCTACTTAGACTTGAAAAACTAGTCATAGGATCTAATTTTACTAATAAGAATTTTGAACGAGTACATCAAATATTGAGAAACTTTGACGGTGATATTTTTTTTTTTTCGGTATTTCAGTTATTTTTGTTCGGAGGAAATACCTACTTTGACCAAAAGATCTGCCGAATCATTAATCACCCTGTAACGGACAATATTTTAATTATAGTAGTTAAGTAAATATTTTGACTATACAGAATGAGCAAATAACTTCCAAATATATTTAAGGGTGATTTATGGTGTCCATTTTAAAGAATTAGGGATTTCTAACTTCAACACCCTGTATCTCAAAATCTAGTCATAGGATACGATTGGGCCCATGGACACTTTTGATGGGGACATCAAGTAATTTAACATATAAAAAATTCAGACATTTTAACGATACTCCCGTTTACATAAGAAAAGTCCTTTCGTCAAATTTTGTTACTTTATGTTTTTATACAAAATAAAAAAGTATTTCCTTAAGATCAGATTTTATGTTAAATAAAAAGTATGTGACTTGATTTTTCACTCAGGAAAATCAAAAAAATTGTTTAAAATATCAATATATTTTTTTAATTGTCTTACATCGTCCGAACATATAGTTGTTAGGGCTCGTATATGTTGAATGTTTCAATAGGGGTATACGCCAAGTTTGACTAAACATGACAGATGAAGTGGCATATGAAGTAGCAGATGACGTTACTGGGTGAGTTTGCTTATACATCATTTTAATTTAATTTATGGGCGTCTATTGTTTTGATCAGCGCTTTTTTAACGCGCAACCGCTAACGAGCAGAATCTAAGATGAGTTTTTCGACTTTTTAGAGGAAAAACTTTAAGACCTTTTATTAATAAAAAAATTTGTGTAGTGAAAATGTATTACACATCTTTACATTTCCGACAACGGTACCTTAAAATAAAATTACCCGACTAAAGTAACGATTTTCAACGTCACGTGAACCGTTTATCAATATTCTCAGACGATTTTCTAAGTTAAAAAGTTTGCAGATTGAATATATTTTTCTCGCATACTTTGAAACTCAAGTGCAAAACTGACTATCTAATTTTATAAAGCTGTTCTGCGAATTTACGAGGTTTTAAAATTTATGTCGTTGAACACGAGCGCGCGTATTTCGCTTTATCGAAAGGCGAAAATTATTGAAAAATTATAAAAAGGATTCAAAATTGAGAAAGTACAGAGAAACTTCCTAAAGATATAAGTACCTAGATCTGAAAAGTCAACGAAGCGAAAGAGTAATGACGATGATTCTATTTTGGTCTTGTAGGCACAGTAAAATATAAATAGGAAAATAATTCTAATTATTTGAGAATTTCTTGTTTTTTTTTTATAGTAAAAAGTGTCAACTTCTTCGTTTTTCGCTTATATCTCTTACACGGTTGGTCCTATCGAAAAAGTCTTTATATACAAAATTAAAGGTGACAAAATTTGGCATAAAACAGTTCATGTTTCGTTTTCTTATCCCTTACCATTTTATAGTTACCTACAGGGTGTGTCGTCAGGAGGTGGCGGGGATGTTGTCGCTCAAGTTCCCAGTACATGAGTATTCAGCAGCAATGGAGCTGGATAATTCTATAGAACAGGCGCGTTGTCGTTTCCGCCACCATGTCATTATAATGGCGCGCACCTCCTAAACCGTCATAGTTAAAGCAAAAGTAAGCAGAAACGAAATTGTAAGAGATACAATTATCTTCCAAGTGTTATAGTAATGATTCTCAACTGTTTATAACTAGAAAACTGTTAGGGATTAGAAAAAAATTAATACGAACTATTTTATTTCTGTCTCTAAAGAAGTTTTTCACTAGGACCATCTATTAACGAGATATAAGCGTAAAAACAAAATTGACACATTTGGATATGCCCTGTAGTTAAAAATAACCCCACTTCTGGAATGGGAGCACTACTAGGTTTGTCACCGCTTCACTTCGTGATACAATGAGAGGCACTATTAGGTGTTCACAGTAGAGGATATTCTGGGAAAATTGGTGACTGGGGAAGTGCTAGATATGAAAACAGATCAATTAACCAACTCCTTGGATATTACTCAGTCTTAAGATCAACCTGAGCTATGTATTAGAAAAACATACCTTAGTATTTCAGGCTGAAATTTTTACAAAATTGCAAAATACAAGAACAAACAATAGGAGAGTTATCGAAAAACCAGAAGATCCACATAATGTCTGACAGAGTCATATCGACTCTGAAAGTGACATCAAGGCTGGTATGGGATTGCATCGAATGCCTGAGAACATTGGTAGTTCGAAATAAAGTTGTTTGAGAAGGGTCATTAAGAGAAGGAGGGCAATGAAAAGGCTGACGAACTTTGCAAAAAGAATCATACAAAACCTTGGAGTACGGAAAAGTACAGTACAAGGTTTTATAAAAGAATGGGAGATCAAACACACAACAATTATTAGAAGAATGTCCCAAAACAAGCACATAGGAAAACCTTTACAGGAAGACTAAGTCCAAAAAGATAATTATGAATAGGAGCTGTAATATCTTCACTTTATTTACCTACGGAATTTGCTTCATGCACACTTTAAAAGATCGAGAAGGCCTATAATACAATAATCAAGGAGAGTGCTGTTACATACAGTGAAATTCTTTAACTCTTTTCTTGTTTCCTCTGCCAGAACTTGCAACTTGCAGCAATTTCAGATCACGTGAGTTCCAGATAATTGATCACAGTATTTTAATTAGATCAGCAAACGTATTGTCTGCTAGCTTAACAGGACTGCAAAGATCTTCCATCAGTTAGTATATCTGATCTCTTACTATTAATCAATAAGGCAGTTTTCATATTGTCTTCTACTTTATTTACCTTGAAATACTGCTCCATACGTGTGATGTAGGAACCAGATTAAACAATTATAGGATTAATGACTGGACATACCAAAGTTAATGAACACCTGAATAAAATAGGAGTGTAAAATGGAGATCTGTTATGTCGACTATGTCACAAGGAACCAGATACATCCAAAGATATACTGTGTCACTGCGAAACATTGGATTGCAAAAGACAGGAAGTTTTTGGAAAACCACAAATTAGGTTAGATCCAAGAGCCCATAGAACACACTCGATTAAAGACCGGTACAAACTTGTACAAGAAAAAAGTTGATATATAAAATGAAATATATGAGGTAAAACACAATAAAGCCAGCATGCTGTAGTGTTATCGGACACTTTGTCAGACAACTCTTGGAAACAAATTCCCTGAAGTTAAACACCTACATCTACTAAAAGTTAAAAAAGTTTGGGATATATTTTCGTGCGATCTTGGCTGGAGTAATTCCAATGATTCGAGATGCTTTCGGTCGCTTTTGACGGTACGCCTTTGTAAGAAAATTATGATATATACTTACTTTATATCCAGGTCCTAACCTATGCATAGCGCATATCTGGTGCGTCGTTAAGGCCTCGCTGAAGAGATATATGGCCGACATTTGACCGCAAAAAACTCGCTCTTCGTCCAGTTCTGGCGTCGCACCGATGTAGCATTTGTCGAATACCTGTTAAATGTAATAATATTTATTCACACCTGTAGAAAGTGAAGTATCAAAATAGTTATTTTTGTATTATTTTTATAGTAGTTATTTCTAACATGCAGAATGTATGTTAGAAAAATAATTGAGTTTAGTAGAAGATTTTTACTAATTAGGGCCGATCTTTTCACCTCTGAGTAAAAAATTGCGTGAACTTAGCGCCCGAGAGCCAGCGCTCTCTGGCAATATTCATTCCCACCATTAAGACAAGTTCACACGATACAAAAACGTTGGCGCTAGATGCTGGGCTCGCTGGACCATTTTATCAATCTATATTGCGTTAAACGGCGCTACAATTATTAAATATTTGTGGTATCAGAAGCGGTAAACTTCTTATTCTTATTTGTATTCTCTAATATTATATCTTTGATTACAACTAAATTCAATAACTAAAGTAATAATAGAATATACTTTCTGTGAGTTTTATGGCGTGACGCAATTTAGTTTTTGCTAAAAAAATAATTAAATTTAGTGGAGGGGGATGGTTTTAGCTATGACGCCCATATTTTAAAAAACTAGGTGGAACCAAAAAACCAGGCTGGCAATTTGTAAAAAGGAAAATAATTCAAACTCAAATGTGACCCTTTGGATATAATTCAATACCTGTTGCGGTATTAGCCAAAGGAGTAGTTGTTTTCTGAAGGGAAACGGTCACTCGTAATTATGTGATATTGGATTTTCGTTTTATTTATTTTATTTTACGTCTTGATCACATTTGAGTTTGAATTATTTTCCTTTTTTTCTCATTTAATGCTTATAATTCTATGTTCCACGTGACGTCACCGTCAGTCAGCTGCATGCAGGAACATACCGTTAGTCTGTGTATCGTGCTTTTTATTCTATCTCAATGGTATGTATGTAAATATGTACCTACTAATCTAAAATGCCGTAATTATAGTCTATTTTTATGTATGAGAGAGTAATAAAACAGCATTTCTAATGCAAAACTTAGTACGGTCATTTTAAATATTTTTACAGAATAATCTAAATATTTCCTAAAATTGTAATAAATGTACCTGAGCTATTACAAGTTTTGGGTCTTTTATTGGTCCTTTATAAACATAAGCTGTACAGAACAATAGAAAAAGGTTTGGACAGCCCAAAAGCCCTGTGTATTAAAGATTACCTAGCCGTATCTTAAGATTATTTTCAATAAGTACCTATTTGCCAATTTTGTTTTATTTTAATTCCAAGAATTTCTTACAGTAATCGAATTATAAGTAGATAAATACCTTCCCAACAAATTTCACAGAAAATGCGATTATAGGTTTTCCATTTAGTAAGGAGGTCCAAGTTGTGTATTCTTGACAGTTTACTAAATGTCGTTTAGTTGCAACTTGCAAGGTGCAGTGTGAATTCTAGTGTGATCATGGAAAATTTGTAAGGGCCGCGTAAACGACAAAAAATCGGTCCTTTAACAGTTAATGAAGAAACATTAATATTTAATTGTTTTAAATCATTTACAAACAAACATTTATGTAAAAGTGTTGATGACATAGTGGAATTAGTTAGTAGTACGCTTGGTGTTGGGAAATCTACGATTTACAGAGTTGTTAAAGAAGAGAAATGTGGCGAGTTTCAAACAGCACGTAAAGCTCCAGGAAAACCAAAATTTCAATTAGAAAATCTTTTGAAAGAAAGACTTCGAAGGAAAGTGCATGCGTTCTTCTTTAGAAAAGAATTTCCGACAGTAGACAAAGTTCTTGCCACGGTTCGAGGTGATAAGGATTACCCTGAAATGAATCGAAGCACACTATGGAAACTTTTAAAAGAAATAGGTTTTCTATAGAAAAAGCATTCCAGAAAGTCTATTTTAATAGAAAGAAGCGATATTGTAGTATGGAGAAGAAATTACCTAAGGACTATAAAAGAAATGAGAAACCAAAGAAGAAATATATTTTATTTAGATGAAACATGGATCAACGAGGGACATAAACCAAATAAATTTTGGCAAGATGAAACTGTTACAAGTCGAAGACAGGCTTTTTTAAATAATTTATCTACTGGTTTAAATCCACCATCAGGAAAGGGGCGCAGACTAATAATAGTACACATCGGTAGTTCAAACGGTTTTGTTAAAGGTGGTTTATTGACTTTTGAATCTACTCGTATCGGTGACTACCATGAGGACATGAATGCTGATGTCTTTAAAGAGTGGTTCGAACAAATTATAGATCTTCTTCCTCAGAACTGTATAATAGTAATGGATAATGAAGTTATCACTCGATACGAGACGAAAAAATGCCCACAACCAAGTGGTTAAAAAAATATTTACAGAATTGGCAGAATTCAAAGAATATTAAGTTCCATCCCGGTTCTGTGAGAAAAGAACTGTATCATTTGTGTTCCCTTCATAAAGAGAAATTCAAAAAATATGAAATTGATGAAATTGCAAAAAATCGTGGGATGACGGTGGTTAGATCACCACCATATCATTGCGAAGTAAACCCGATTGAACTGATATGGGCACAGATAAAGGGAGAAGTTTCAAGAAAAAATAATTCTTTTAAAATGAGTGATGTTAAACAGTTGTTTTTGGAGGCTGTAAATAATGTGAAGCCTGAAAACTGGGAAAAGGCAGTAAATCATACGATTAAAGAAGAAGAGAAAATGTGGAAGTTGGACAATATTACTGATGAAATGATCGAGCCACTCATTGTAAATATTGGTTGCGACAGTTCATCTTCTGATTTCGATTCCGATTTGGATTTGTAGGTAAGAAGTAGTTTTTATATTAAAATTATTATTTATGAACGTAACGTTGTTTAAAAGTCAAAGTTTAAACCCTTATACCTACATAACCCGTTTGACACAATGTTCTTAACATACCTTGTGGAAAAATAAAACATTTTAGAAAAAATTGCATTTTTTACCTTCAGCTGTTTAGAAGTTATAAGCAGGTTAATTAGGTGAAAATATAAGTGTATACTTGAGGAATAACTTCAAAAAATATTTTAATTGTCTACTAAAAGAAGTGATACGCCTATGGATTACAAAAGCTTTATTATTTTAATACTCTCTCATACGTAAAAATAGACTATAGTAAAGGACTGAGGAGATGAAACAGAAAAGGTTGTGGGCGCAAATGGGCCGGGCGAAGATGGGCCTATATCAGAAAATATAATGACTCTGTATAGCGAAGGTACATCAGGTAGAAGCGTTTCTGTGTACGAACTAACTCATATAGTAGAATTGCAATCGACACGGAGTAATAAATCTGTCAGATCAGGAAATTTCAGGTGTGGGTGTCTATATTATTATTTACGGGGTACATAAAATCATCATTTAAAAATATATTTTTTTGAATATGTATTATTGAGTATTATTTCGGTATGTAGGTACTTTACAAAATGTTTTTTGAGTTATTTGCAATTGTTATGTAAATGGTAGAGTTATCTGTTTGAGTAAATTAACAGCAAGGTATATAGCAAACATTTTTTAAGACCTATAAATTTGACTATTAGGTATACCTACATTAAATTGTTTAAATTGTTATTCGTCATTGACTTCTTGGAAATTTTTGATGTCAAGGTGAAAGTTAATGACAAGTGGAGAGAAAGGTTTCAGCTTAGATTATAGAAAGTAATCTGAGGGTTCAAAATTTATAAATGTGACTATAATTGTATTAAAAATGTAAATGGGATAAATCCTTAGATTATAGAAATCTATAATCTAAGGGTTAATCGTTATTTTATCATGTTCTTGGAGATTACTAATGCCATGGAAAAACCAAAACGATAACAGGAGGTAAGAAAAAAGTGGAATTTACTAAACAAATTAAAAGCGAAATAAGAAGAAAAGTTCACGAACTTTATTTTAAAAAAGACGCAATCAATGAAATAGGAAAGACAAAACTACAGGAAACTCCAATAGATTTGAAGTTCAAGTGGGATAAACAGGACAGGAAAGTAGCACTTATTGATTCTGATGAAATTGTTTGTTGGAGACGGAGATACCTCAGAACCATTTTTAAATTTCGTGCAGAAGGCAAAAATTATCTTATTTGGACGAAACCTGGGTGAATGAAGGTTACACGCTTAGCAAAATGTGACAGGACACAAATATTCAATCTTCATGAAAGGCGTTTTTTTGGAAGGATTATCTACAGGACTGAAGGTTCCTTCCGGTAAAAGACGGCGTCTAATTATAACTCATATTGGAAGTGATTGATAACGGGTTTTCAAAACGTATTTCTTTAATATTTCAATCTAAAAAAAACCGGAGACTACCATGAAGATATGAACGCTGATGTATTTGAAAAATATTTACCAAAAGGTTCAGTTATAGTAATGGATAGCGCTACTAGTTACCATTCCCGTCTAATTGGACGTATGCTAAATACTTCGTGGAGCAGCTGTTACTGACCAGACTAAACTCGGAAATAGAAAGAACGGGAGGACTTGCTACTGAACAGCATGGATTCAGAAAGGACAAATCTACCATTAGTGCCATGAAAAAAGTACAAGAGCCAGTTGACACAGCAAATAAAATGCCCCACAGTGAAAGAAAACTTTGTGCAATAATAACGGTGGATGTCCAAAATGCGTTTAATTCTGCTCCTTGGGGAGGAATACAAGCAGAGCTAAAAATAAGAGGGGTTGCTAGCCAAATTTACAACATAATAGCAAGTTACCTAGAAGATAGGACGTTAGTAGTAAAAAACCAAGGAAATGAAAGTAACATGCGGGGTACCACAGGGATCAGTGATAGGGCCTACCCTCTGGAATATATACTACGACGGAGTGCTTAGGATTCCAATGCCTACAAGGTTAAATTTAGTGGGATATGCCAATGATCTGGCAATTCTGGTTACAGCGAAAAATATCATAGACATCGAATGGAAAGCTAACAGAGCTGTCAACATCATAACCAGCTGGATGAAAAATAAAAGCCTTAAACTTGCACCACAACAAAAAATGTGATGTTGGTAAGTGGTTGAAAAGAGAAATCTATCTCAATGAACGTTG